GTGCAAATACTGTCATCTGTATGGATGAAATCATGAGTTCCATGTCGTATGTAAGACACAGGAGGAAACTGTCTCACTCCACTTGGCCCTGGTGAGGCTTAGGCTGGAGTAACAGATCTGGTTTAGGGCACCACACTTTAAGAAACATGTGGACAAACTGGAGAGAGTCCAAAGGAGAGCAACAAAAATGCTACAACGTTTAGCAAACCTGACCTATGAAGATTGGGCATGGTTAGTCTGGGGACCTGATAATCTTCAAACATGTTAAGGGCTGTTATAAGGATCAACTGTTCTCCATGTCTGTTGTAGTCATTTAGATGGAATAGAGGGGCCCAAAGAGTCCAAGGCGTTAACATGATCCTGCTACTCTTCAACAGTGTTAAACAAGGTTCAGGGGCCTACTTATACCATGACAAACACACCATTCAAAATCACTAACTCTGCACTAAAACCATACAGCTTTAAGTAAGGCTTTCATTTTAACACCCCTCGCTCCCTTTCCCGTGAGCTGGAGAGTTTTTTAAAGGACCCTCCTCCCAGCTCAGTTGAAGTGGCATTAAAGATGGTCAAAACTGTCCTTTTGGGGAAAAGAGACGCTAGTCGAAACGGGCTGAAGCTGGCCTTGTTGCTGTTATTGGAGTCCAATCCTGCTTTCCAGAAAACCAAACAAGAGGAGCACACTCAAGGGGAAAGGAAAGAACAGCAAAAGAGAGACAATGCAGCTGGCTCTCCGGTGCAACCTAGCTGCTGAACAAACACAAAACCACCCGCTGTGCCTATCAGCCACTCTGACACCTGGCAAACTTGTGCCAGCAGTGGGTATTTTAGAGCATTGCACTTAGGTGTCCTTGCAATCACAGGCTTACAGCACTGTTGCAAAATATGCAGTCTTGGCTAATCAAGCCAGCCTCTTCTTAGACAGAAGGAAAAGGGGAGAGGGAGGCAGGGAAAAGAAATAAGGTAGGGAAGGGAAAGGACATATTGGGAGAAAGACAAAGTCTCACATCCCAGGTGGTGTTCGGGATTTAGTTGGAGCTGGCAGAGGTGGTGGTGTCATCTGGGTCCCTCTCTCTGGCCTGGTCTGGTCAGGACGTCTCTCAGGATTAAGACAAAGGGCTGGTCTACACTCGGGGGGGGGGGGGAAATCGATCTAAGATACGCAACTTCAGCTACTTCGACTTACCTGGCCATCCTCACGGCAGCAAATCGACCGCTGCGGCTCCCCCATCGACTCCGCTTACTCCTCCTGCCGAGGTGGAGTACGGGCGTCAATTCGGGGATCGATTTATCACGTCTAGACGAGACACGATAAATCGATCCCCGATAGATCAATTACTATCCGGTGGGTAGTGTAGACAGGGCCAAAGAAGGTTCAAGGTCCTGGGAAATAATGGGGTGGTGAAACCCGTTCCTTTCCCTTATCTTTTAGGCAGTGTTAGTCTCCCCTCTTTTCAGTCAGCTCATCTTTCAGTAGCCAGCTTCCCCCCACTTGTCTTTTTGAGGACGCCAAGGAGTGGTGATGGGTGGAATGGCTCCTCCCCCTCATTTTGTCCACCAATTATACTTAATTTCTGACACTAATTTGAGTTAATTGATTTTCAGTCTCACACTTCTCTTGTTTACTAGGCATGATCTTAACACAGCCCTTGAATTGTATCAGTGGGACTTGGGGTTTGGACTAATTCAGTCTGTCTCCATTTTTATCTTCTCCCATCAACACTTGTAATAGGTTATCGTGACACTTTTATGAACCTTCAGTCGCTTTTCACAGTTGAGCTGACAATTAGGGTAAGTGTGTACGCCCAATTATCACAACACATCCCCTGAAGGTAGGACAAGTAGTAATGGGCTTAATCTGCAGCAAGGGAGATTTAGGTTAGAGATTAGGAAAAACTTTTTAACTGTATGGGTAATTCTGCTCTAAACTAGGTTTCCAAGGGAGGTTATGGCATCCCTGTCGTTGGAGGTTTTTAAGAGTAGGGTGGACAAACCCCTGTCAGGGATGATCTAGGTTTATTGGTCCTGCCACAGGGCAGGGGTCTGGACTTAATGACTTTTCGAGGTCCAGTAGTAACCCTGAGGAGGAGGAGGAGGAGAAGATAGGTAGGAAAGAACCCAGGGAAACAGCAAGTGTCGGAACTTAAGCAGACTGGTTGATAGGTATATGATCCCTGGTCTGGAACCTGGAGTAATGGACGGGGCCAGGTTCCCCTAGCAGCCACAAGGAAAGTGGCATAGTCTGGGAGGTGAAGCAGAAGACCGCCTGAGACTGCAGATAGTCAGTTTGTCCAGGGAGAGTTTAATACTCTAGCAGGGCAGGGCTACAGTGACCTGTCTGGAGGGCTGTCACAAAGAGAGCACTCCAAGTCCAGAGTGTCTACAGGGCGAGCAATCGAATGAGGCTGCAAGGAGAAGCCCCACTGGTGAGTGAACCCCATCACAAGGACAAAATTAAGCGTTCAGTGGGACACCTCTCAGGCCACGTCTACGATACAAGCACAGCTGCAGCACTGTCGCTGTAGTGTAGACACTTCCTCCACTGATGGAAGGAATTTCTCTGGAGTTAACCCATCTCTCTGAGATGCGCTTAGCTAGGTCAGCGGAAGAATTATTGTTGACCTGGCTGCATCTACAGTGGGGTTAGGTCAACTTAACCATGGCACTCAGGGCGCAAAATTCTTCACAGCCCTGAGCAACTGTTAGGTTTATTTAACTTTTCAACTGTAGACCAGGCCTAAATAGGAGCAGTAAACAGAGTGTTGCTAGAGCCACTGGAGACAACTCACTCCAAGCCAACAAGCACAGCTCAGAACTCAACACTTCAACAGCAGTGCCCTGAACTTAGTCCTTACCCTTGCAGACCCTTCCCAGCTCTCCTTGTCTCTCACATCTACCATCTCCATTGCTGCGTGCTGGGAGACAGTTGTATGAACTTATGAAATGGATGAAGTATAGTTTTCAAGTCCCCTCAAGCCACCCCTCACCACCAAGAGGAAAAAAAAAAATACACACCTTTCTGGGTTTGGTAGCACACTGTGTATTGTAACGTCCCCTCACAGCGATATTATTCCCTGTGTAGGACAGGCTGCTAAGAGACAGCTTTTGTTTTTACTATTCAGTTTAACAGCCAACGATGGCAAAAGTGTTACAAGGTTAAAATGACAATATTCACAACACGGCACAAGTTGTTTCAGAAGGATGTATGCTTGACAGGTCAGATCCTCCCTGCTGGATTGATGAAGTAGTAACGGATCCTGCCGTGTGGAATCAAAGCTGTCGGCGTAGACGGAGCAGGAAAGAGGTCCAGCCAGCAGCAGCTCTTGATGCTTCTCCCCGCATTTCAGTCCAACAATGGAGGGGTAAGGGTAGGATGAGAGGCTTAAACAGGGAGCCAGGATCAAGGGTGTTGAGCCCCCCTTCATGGACCCAACTCTCTGAGCCGTTAGCCAGGTAACCAAACCCCTCATGATAGAAATAACCGATCCGGTTTTAATACCTTAAACCAGTTATGCTGCCCCTTTTAGAATGCAAGAAGCCTTTGCTGTTAAACCATTGCAAAGCAGAGGTTGATAATTATGATATATAAATGTCAACGCCCTCCCTCCCCCACCCTCTGAGCTCCCTGCACGCTGAGTAACTATTCCCAGAATAAAACATTTAAATACAACTTCATAAATATTAAATCATGAAAAAAAAAACCTCAACTAAATTGGTTTCTTTCCTCCTGGTAAAAAAAGAATTTGAGTCAGGAGGGAAGATCAGAAAGAGTATGTCTAATATAGACGGTTCATCAGGATATGAAGTAGATTAGAGGGGAGAGAGAGGGAAATTGTACTAGAGCCATTTCTTGTTGTCACTACATTGATCTTCAAGGTACAGGTCTCGTCAGGACATCACTTGACGTTTAAATCTAGATAAAGAGGTTCCAGAGCCCTTAGGAACCAGACATTACTCAGAGACCACCGCTTTCCTGCTTGACTAAACTCCTTTGCATTTGGACACCTGGCTGGCTCTCTGTGAGAAAGGCGGTTCTGCCTGATCTGCCTTTCAAAGATCTGTTTTTTTAAACTAACAGCTTGAACTATATTCACTGTAAATGTGATTGGGAAAAAACCCCAAACACTCAGCCCTGATACATCAACTAAAAAACTCCTCCTAAGCCGCTACATTCTTCGGCTTTATTAGCAACGACTGCTAATAGGCATACAAAACCCTTGCATGTGCAGGAGCAACAATTTCTTTATTTTTTAAATCTATAAAAAGGAGGTGGGGGAGGGTCACTGCTTTTGGGGAAAAAAGACTAAGATTCATTTAATTTTTAAAAAAAACTTTAGTGAAAATAAAAATCAGTACAACATATGCTCAGGTTTCTAGCCATGTGTCTGCAGCTGGTAACTTGGTAAGGACTGCCACAGTCTTATGTACAGCAACTGGCTAAGATAATACAGCAATGTGTCTTTTCAGCTGATTCTAATAAGCCGCAGCTTGGAATCAGAGTGGAACACACACTTGTTGAGGCAAAAAAACCCAAAATCTGTTGCTCTGCACAGAGACCCGGCAGCCATTTATATGGAGTGGCATTATGGGAATCTCTATTTGGATGCGGTTAGAGCACCGTGCGCAAAAGGTAACCCTGATGCCAAGGGGTAAGACAGAAGCATAGCTATCCAAAGGGAATTTAGCTATTATTAAAAAAAAAAAAAAAAAAAAAAACAAAAACAAAAACAAAAAACGCAGCAGATTTTACAAGTTGTGTCCCAAGAAGGACACATAATACTGGGGGAAAAAAACCAAGCAGGATCGGTTTGGTCCATTTGCTTAAACACTGAAGGCTTAAAAATGCGCCAGGCACCAAGATCTCCCGAAATCTCTGTTGCTTCTCATTCTGTGTGAGGATGAGAGAATAAAGGAGTAGTTTAAAACAGGAGAAAGCAATGCAAAAACCTCTCTGACATCTTAAAAGCGTGGCCCATTCCAAATCCTTCAAGCACCAAGCCATGATAAAGTCTTGTGGGTGGGACTGTTCCAGGTCACCTTCTCAGGATGATGATGATGCAATGTCATAAATGCATTAGACTGCTGCACTCAAAATTAGTTTATAGAAAAGACATCCATGATCAATACCTTTCATGTGTGACCAAAAAAACAGTTGCTCCCCCTTCTGCAGGACATTTTTGGTGAAACACTGATAAAACTATTTTAAAAAAGAATAGATAATTGTCGCAGCCTAAAAGAAACGATATGACTGAATTAAAGAAACTTAAATTAATATAAAAACCAAACACCATGTTGAGCTGTTGCAAAAACGGTTCCAACAAGGCTCCAATGTCCATTTCCCCTGGTGCTCTTCATAGTTGACCATTGTTCTTGCAAGGTTTGTGAGGTCCTCAATCCTAGGTAACCAGTTCCCCCAAAGCCAGCTCCTTTTCTCCAGAGGACTCTAGCCTGCACGGAGCAGCTCCTGCTCCTCCTTGGAGATGAGCAGCCTTGCTCCTGCCAGTCTTCGAAGAGAGGACAGCAGCAGAAAAACGAGATGCAACCAGCCACAGCTTGAGGGCTGTTTTGCAGAAGAGGAGGTTGCTCTGGGCTCAGCCACTGTTAATACTATGACACTAAGTAGGTCCCAAGCCTTCCAGCTTCTATGGATTCTGTCCGGATAAGATTTCTAAGATCAGCCGCAGGGGCTGAATGTTTGTCAGACTACGGCCCACGCAGAGTAGAGAGAAATCTTCTGCTCACATCACAACTGTCCCTCTGTTATTTCACTGTAAAGAGAAAAAATCAATAGGTAGACTATTCAGGAAGGTTTTCTAAGCAGTCTGAGTGAGTTTCTTCCTTGGGGAAAGGTGCTGGATTGCTAAATGGTTGTGGTGAATAAGAGACAAGTCCAGTAGCAATGCAAAGCCTCACTGACATTTCAAAAGCTAGTCTCTGAACAGGCACAACTACTCTGTGCTAATACGAGTGTCGTAAAGTGCTTCCTTCCTGTCCTTGAGTACTCAGGGCAGTGGTTCTCAACTTATTTACCATTGTGGGCCGCATGCAATACTACCTCTATGGCCCTGGGGATGTCACATGGGCCGCAGCTCTGCGCTGATTGGGCTGCAAGTTGAGAACCACTGATCTAGGGCCTAGCAATTCTTGGCCTCTCTGAGGCAGACACTGTATTAAAAGATGCTGTCTAGACAGGTCACAGGTTTGGTCTACACTTGATTGTGGTTTTATATGTCCCAAATCATGCGGATGGTTCACTTTCAGCTTGGACAGTGAGAGTAGCCTGGATAATTACACTTTGTGGCCCAGTGGCTCCGGCACTGGACTGGGACCCAGGAGCCCTGGTTCTATTCTCCACTTTTCCATAGACCTGCTTTGGACATGTCAGCTCTGTGCCTCAATTTCCCCTCCCACTCCACATGTTCTCTGGTGCAGAGTCTCACTAGATGTCTGTGTAGCATGCAGCAAAATGAGGGGCCATTGGTATCAAAGAAACAAAGTAATTGAATTAGTCGGTTGCATTTCGTGATTCTCACACCCCAAGCACAAAACGCCTGCATTTGAATTAAAAGCCAAATTAAACTTTTTTTTTTTTTTTTTTAAACTGCGACTAAAACTGCCCGACAGAGCCCTCCTCGCACCTATGGAAATGCAGGTACTTACAAAGCTTATCTCGGTCTCTTGCACGTCTTCAAAATGTTCTGTCAGTTCTGAGGAGCGTTCTGTTACGGAAGGCCCTGCGGAGCCGCTGGGGAAACAGAAAAGGGACACCTATGAAGCTATTTCTTCTAAATAAGCCTTCAAAATTCTTTGTGCCCCTTTGGGTTTCCTAATATGCCCACAGTAATATCCAAGCGATGTATAAAGCATCTCTTAGCCACACGTGAGATGTTCCTGACTCATTAGCCACCTTGGCATGTGTAATTGAAAAGATTGCACCAGGAAAAAAAAAAAAAACCCCACCCACCCCAAAGTGACTGTGCCAGTCTGGAATCCAGGTTTCTCCTCCCTGTCCCACAAGAGTGCTGTGATGTGTTTCCTTTCCCACATTCCACATGGGTGCTGCAGAGATTTTTATTCAAAAAAAGAACTGCCCTCAATCACGGACTCGAACTGAGGGGAGTTTCAGGCAAGCAGATGAGGCCCACCGCTGGGTGTTGACTCATTTAGGGAAACGCAAAGAGAGGCCAATTTATGTCACGTTTCCATTCTACAAACATTCCATCCCTAGTGTTTACTCAGTTGGAGCAGTCAGCTTCCCTTCCCTGGTTTTAATTGCTCTGTTTATTGTGTAAACGTGTATCTTTTAACACTAGAGGAGAATGCTTATGGTTCAGATAAACCAATGGCTCCTCTTTACAAGCACAGTGGTTTTCAACCTTCTTTCATTTGCGCACCCCTAAAAAATTTCAAACGGAAGCACAAACCCCATTGGAAATCTTAGTCTGCAGATCCCCGGGGGGGGTCTGCGGACCACAGGTTGAAAACCCCTGCCCTAGCACGCTGCTGTTACGTAAATAAATACTCCTAGCTGGAAGCCATTTCAAAGAGACGATAAAGCAGGGGTCGGCAACCTTTCAGAAGTGGTGTGCCGAGTCTTCATTTATTCACTCTAATTTAAGGTTTTGCGTGCCAATAATACATTTTAAATGTTTTTAGAAGGTCTCTTTCTATAAGTCTATAATATATAACTAAACTATTGTTGTATGTAAAGTAAATAAGGTTTTTAAAACGTTTAAGAAGCTTCTTTTAAAATTAAATTAAAATGCAGAGTCCCCCGGTCTGGTGGCCAGGACCCAGGCAGTGTGAGTGCTGCTGAAAGTCAGCTTGCGTGCCGCCTTTGGCACACGTGCCATAGGTGGCCTACCTCTGCGATAAAGTGACATAATGGGCTAGAGCAGTGTTTCTCAACCTTTTCAAAATGGCAATCCCTTATTCAAAGTCAAAAATTTTCATGATCCCCTAACATTTACAATAAAATAAGTAGTTGCACCAATGGCAAGTCTCTGATTTGCATGTGTGCTTCAAGAGACTGACAAGACTGGACCTTGAAAAGGGTCAGGGTGCATGGGGAGTGGGGGAGGCGATGCACTGGTTTCCAAACTGGGCCTCCCCACCCCTCCCACCTAGCAATACAGGACGGGCAGTGTGGGCATGATCTCCTGACTCCACTTCACGACCCAAAGGTTGGAATCCATGAAGTAGATAAAGGGAAAGTTCAACCTGGTGAACACGGATTTCACACAGTACCGTGTGTTACACAGGCCAGGAGACGCTAGTCACATTATAGTCACCGTCTTAAAGAAAGAGTTGTGATTGCATAAGGAAAGCCACATGCTGCTAATGCACCCAGGGCTTGTTGTTTGCTTCCAGCAGGCTACACCTTGTCATCTGGTGCTGCATGCATCATCGGCGGGGTACGAAATGCATAGAGCTGTCAAACCACGAGGTGGAGGACAATGGTCGGTACATGGAAAGTGGTCACCCTGCAAAGCTAGGACCTCTGCTCAATAATCTTCTGTTCACTCACATTCAGCAGACTGGAGACACTGGAGTCCTTGTGTTTGGACACAGAGGGTACCACACATCTTTCCTGCCTAGATTAAGCCTCACCTATTTGAGTGGTTACTCAGGGCTGAACTAGCTACATCCTCTGCGGAGCTTTCTGAGCTGTGAACTTCCAGTCCCACTGACCTACACAGAGATTAAAAGGAGAGACCCTCAGCTGGTGAATACAATGCTCCAGACACTGATTTTACAAAGAGGGGAAAGTCTGGTGATAACCCACAAGTTTGCGTTTTAAAATTAAGAAAGGATATCCTAATTTTAAGGTCATTTATTTAGTGCCACCGAATCCAGCAAAGGGATGAAGAGAAGTCCCCCACCTAAAGCCATGAGGAAGGTCAACCTATGAAACTCATTGCCACAGGATGCCAATGAAACACTATGGCTGAATAATTTATACTTTATTTAGCAGCACTGTTCGGGGAATCTCAACGTTCTTCACAAAACAATATGAGAGTCAATGGCAGAGATGGGTCTAGATACACAGGGGAGTCCTAACTCCTAGCCCCATTCTCTTCTGGACTGACCCCTCTTTTCATCTGAGGTTATACAGCGTATAAACTGACCCCCACGTATCTCAGGGAGACAGTCTCCTTCCCACCTGCACAGCACTACAGCTTGCTTTGAAGCATCAGGTATTGGTTACAGCAAAAGGCAGGACACCAGATTTAATGGCTCAATGGCTTGATCCAGTGTGGCAAGCCTACTCTGTCATGAGTGTTGGCCCAGGGGCTCCATACACAGAAGGCTGTGCAGGGACAGCCACACGTCAGTGGCAGGCTCCCGGGGTTTGGCTTCACCCCTCACAAAGGCAGGCAGGATTTGCAGTAAGCACACGCTAACAGCGTGGTATTGCTTACATTGCTCTGAGGGGTGCATCTTCTTCAGTGCAGACTGTGCACAGTTAGAGGCATATAGCAACACTCCACAGGAGGGGAAGTGGCTGTGCTGCAAACCAGAGACTGGAGTAGTTCTTTCAACCTGATATTGCAAAATAGGGGGCCCATCCCCTTGTGTTTAGAACTTAAGTACAGAACAAATTAGTGCCTTTCCTGTCTTGGTCTTCACCCTCACCTATTGGAGCGGAAGTTGAGAATTGTTCTAATTGTAGAGTTTTCAGACTTGTGAACTTGAACTCCCACTGACCTACACAGAGATTACAAAGGTGAAACTCCACACTGAGTGGTAAATACAAAGCCACAGGCTTGCTGACTCTATAGAGAAGGAGAAACTGTGGTTTAATTTCATGTAAACAATTACTATAGTTATGAAACTACCTCAGTGCTAGTCTATTAATACAGTGCAGTGGGATTTGAACACAAGACTAAGACCCTTGCTGTAGCAATCTGTCCTCACTTGTATCTATGGGAGGTTAGAGAAAAGTAATTGCATCTCATGATTGCTTGCAGGGGTCAGGAAGGAATTGCTTTATCCATGTGTAGTGTTGCCCCATTGGGCAAGTGTATTAATGGATGGGTGCGGGAGGGAAGGGTGTTTCCTTCCCGTAAAAAAAACAATAAATGTTCACAGGATTCCAGATTTGATGGACCAGTGGGATTAATCCAGCAAGGCAAATCCTATGGATGCTGGGAATAATATGTCATGCAAGGATGACACCATACCCGTCTGATGAAGAGGGCATTCACCCATGAAAGCTTATGCTCCAATACATCTGTTAGTCTATAAGGTGCCACAGGACTCTCTGTTGCTTTTTACAGATCCAGACTAACACGGCTACCCCTCGGAGACTTGGCACCATACCCAGAAGGCATTTATCGTTCCACTTTCTGGTTTACAGCAACCTTGGTGCATTTGCAGCTTGGTGCAAGCACCCACTATGTTACATGGTATTACATTACATATGATGAATTCCCTAGATGCAGACCACTTATAGCCTTTGAACAGTAAAGGGGCATATGGCAAGTTGGACAAGTGGTCCTACTAAAAACAGGCTACTAAGTACTTCATCTACAGACAGTAGAAGTCAAAACTCCTTTTAGAACTGAAGAGGTTTCAGGCAAAGCATGATCCTCGCCCTCACCTATTTGAGCAGATGGCAGGACCTGTTCTAGCCAAACCCTTTGGCGCGGTTTCAGATTTGTGAACTCCCACTGACCTAAGCAGAAATTAAAGGAGAGAGACCCTCAGTGGTGAGTCAAAAAAAAAGCCTCAGACATGCTGACTTTATTGAAAAGGAGAAGATCTGGTTTCGGATCCCTATAAAGCAGCGTGTGGGAGACGGGCAAATTATAGATTTGTAATCCAGTTCTGGCCCACCGGTTCAGGACAGAACAAAAATCAGATGTTGGGCTGGGTTTGTGACATTCTGCAGTCAGACTATGATTAATGAGGACAGAATGTTTCTGATCACTTGGGATATGAGAAATTAGCATCAGAGCAGCTGTGTGCTTCCACGATCCAGACTGCCCCCCCTTACAGCCCCTCCTATTCTCTACCAATCTTACCCCTTTTGCAACAAACAAAAGATTCAAGGGGGTCCTTTCGTTGCTTCCTTACAGCTGTCTCTGCGCATTCATCTCCTAGCAGATGCACTTTTAAAACTCATTTTCTTTTGGCCTCATTTTCAGAGGGGTTAAGCACCTATAATTCTACTGGAATCCATGAGAGCTGCAAGAGCTCAACACCTCTGGGGGGAAAAAAATGAAGTAAATTCTATCAACCCTGCTTGCTACTATGCTAGTGTTCTCCTGCATGTCTTTTTAAGTGACATTTCACCAAATCACCTACTGTAAAAGATTTCAAATGATCAAGTAAAAAAAAATCAAAGCTGCTACACAGTTCAAGCAAGGAGCTAGAAGGCCAACAAGACTTACAAAGCAGAGGATGCAACACTACCTTGTCTTCAAACACAACACTGCATGTTAATGGTGTTACAATGACCCCTTGCGCTGATGGTACTGAACCTGTCTGGCATGGGACGACTGCTCAAAAGACACATAGTTTGACAAGCATGCCAAAAAATGAACACTCCATGAAAGCAGCAGGCATCTGCCCTGTGACTGATGTGTTCGAAAGCAGGGTATCCCAGCCTGCAGGCAGCAGTGGCCTCCCACGCACTGTTGTGATTAATGGAGAGGTACCTGTTGGCTGGAGAGTTAAGGCCTCCACTGCCCAACGAAGAAGTGGACAAGGTTGTTGCTATGGAATCACTGTTAGCTTCGTCTACTGGAGGAGTTCTGGGAAGGAGATCAGGGCGACCAAGATGCGAACCTGCAGGAAGAAAAGAACAGATAGCTCGGTCATCAACATAATGAATAGCATCCCCTGGCATGAGCAGCAATAACTGATCATTTGCCAAGATCTTCTGTAGCCAATGCTGCAAACTACACAACAGAATGGTCCAGTCCAGCACGTTTGGTATCCATTCTTAAGAGAACCCATCTCTTTGTGATACAGTCTCTGTACTAACATTTCCATTAACACGCTGGCAGGGCATGATCCATAGGGAAGGAGATCAAAGCTCAAGACATCACTTAGGCCAATTACATAGGACTTACCATACTGGATTGGACCAGAGGTCCAATCAGTCCAGTTTCCTGTCTTTATACAGGCCAATACTAGATGCTTCAGAGGAATGGGGTAACAACGCTACTGACATGGGATAATCCACCCCTGACCAGATTAGGTCTCCTCCCGACCTCTAAGAGTTAAAGACAGTCTTAAGCCCTGAAGCCTGAGGTTTAAAATCCCTTCCAGAATTTGTTACGAAAACAAGAATATCCAGTTGTAATTCATATAGATGTCCAATCCCTTTTTGCTTCTTGTTAAATTAGTTCTTGATCTCATTCACTTCCTGTAGCAGTGAGTGCCACAGGCTAAGTATACATTATGTGGAAAAAAGTCTCTTTACTGTTCCACCATTAATGCACCACAAGGTTGGCAGGTCCCCAGTGGGCTGAGAGAGACATTTCATGAAAGTCTGACAACTCCTCTAGGCCTGCTGAAGACACCTCAGAATGCCACACCCTTTGAGCTACGCAATATATTAATGGCTGCATCTGAGTCCTGGTAGCTGCGATTAGATCTGTGATCCCAGGATAGATCTTTAGCAAGCTTGCAGACTGACAGCGTCTATTGAATGTCCCCACAGTCTCATCAGTGGAGGTCTTTGATCACAAAAATCTGGGCTGAACCAAGCTTCTTTTGCTGTTCTTTTTTTTTAAAAGGAAAGCAATTCCTGTCATCTGGGTTTTCTAGCATAGGCACCAACCTTGCTCCACATCTGCTTCTGCCGTTACTTGTGCTTTAGTTTCACACGATGCATGCGATTGGTAAGGGACTCCGCCCTGACCCGTCCTCCGAGGAACAGTTGTGCCAGACCGGCTCTTTTTAGAAGGAGAAAGTTTTACTTGAAGACAAAAGCAAAGAAAGATCTTACTTAATATCACCTTTTCCAGAAAACAAAACAAAAAAAAAAAACAGAATCTTACATAGCAACATCCATAACCTTCCCCATTATTTAATGAGAAAGTGTTGCACTCAGAAGAAAGCCAATGGATGAAAGACCCTCCCCTACGAGTTGTCAGTCACGTTCTGTGGGGCAGAAAGATGTACCAGTAACCCTGACACAGCACAAGTTTCCTACTGATCAGAGGCACCTCCATTCATTCTCTCCACTGACTATGACAGCCTCCCAGGAACCCACCTGTGAAGAGATACTTACATGGTATTTTCTTGAATGCAATGTTGCACATGAATCGTTGAAATCTTTCTGCATAGAAGCTGGGCCTATGCACAGACACAGTGTCCTAAAAACATCCAAGGGACAAAAGTTACACATGTAACTAGGGATAAGCAGAATTCTAAGACAACATGGGTTTCTTTTAGAGTAGGTTTACATTTGAAACAAGTATGGTCTCACTATATTAAAGGCATCTTTATAAATGGTGTATAAACAATTAATAAAGTGATTAATAGCTGCTGAAAGCATGAATAGTATGTTATAAACACATCAGTAGAAGGCATTATAGATGGTTATAAGCAAGCTATTAACTTGGACTAACCATCGACTATGCATTTATTAACATCTATCAATCATTTGTTGATCTTTATAAAATGTACTTTTAATATAAGGTGTGACCACAGATACTACTTTAAAATATATATTTCTACACACACAATTATCTGTTTGATGGGACACCTGGTTTGAAAATACTGCTATCAGGTAATTTAAGAGCCCCAGGATAACATTCTTGCCACTTACCCCATCATGCACCAATGCTTTCCATGAGTGCTCCAACTTCTTAACGAATCTGAGAAGCGAGATTTGAAAGTAGTGAACAGACCATAGTAATTTTCAAATTTAGGCTTTGCAATCACGATTAGTAAATTACGTTCATTGCTGCAGTTTGGCTTCTTAACATTGACAGATAAAACAGAAATGCACCTTTTTCCTAAAGCCAAAGTAAATTTACAGACTAGTTAAAAGAATCTAAACATTCAGTAGCAGTTTTATTCTTCTGGGGGGAGATTTTAAGAGGCACCAATGGCAGTGAGATAACGCTCATTGACTTCTAATGATAAAATGTAAATTTTTTTTTTTTTTTTTTTTTTAAGTTAGCTAGAATTCCCAGCCAGCTGGAACTAGGGGTGTGGCAGCACCTCCGGGCTTGAAGTGGTTTCCATCATATTCAGGGTTTACAGTTTGGTTCAATGGCTCTTAGCACCCCCCACTATACAAACTGTCCCAGCACCCGAGGCTATGCGCCAACTCGACACCAACACTACAAACATCTAAGCAAAGTCATAAAACTATTTTTCCATTCCAGAGGGAAGAGGCGCTATCAGTAATTTTAACCTACCACCTATTTTTCTCTGCCACTTCCTGCACACTCCCTTCAGCATAATCACCAAGGCTAAGAAAAACCTGGCCTGTAAGAGCCAGTCTGTACTCTGACACCAAATAAATGAGGGATACAAGGTCCAGAGGAGCATGTGGGGATTTCAGCCTATGAAATATATGTCAAGGAAATGGGGCAATAAAACTAAAAACTGCTTGTAGTCTTCAGTAAACAAGCCATAGAGTCTCAGACTGTTGCAACCAAACAGGGCCAATTTTATTACTGGAGGTTTATTTTATCCACTGTTGACAACATACAGGGTCATGTAAAGGCTCTTACCTGTAGGACTGTAGCACATCGATGATACCAATATATAAAAGCAGTCTTTCCCCCTTTGAATTCCGGGCTGGAATGCCTCCCATTCTAGAAAATAAAAACAGGAAGCATGAGATTCGCAGGCTTTACCCTGATCAAAACGTTTTCACTCTACACAACTCAGCCTTGCATGGGTTAAACGTTAAGTGGATTAACGAGTGGCAACATGCAGAGAACACCTATTGCTGAGCTGACAAACTCTAGTGAAGACAAATCAGAGCTAAATGCTAAGTCAGTAAGTTACCAAAACATAATAATAAGAGCTTATCCCTGTTTTCTGTACATTTGTCTATTTTACTGAAACTGGGGGCTGGTTAATTGATAACTGACCACTTTGAGAAGAATCCAAGAAACCCTGGAGTATCTGGTGCTGGCCACTGTTAGAGACAGAAGTTCAGGTCTGATCCGCTATAGCGATTCCTATGATCCGCGGAGGCGATACTTAATGTTTAGGGGTTTGAGTACAGCTTCCACGTGTGGTACAGACACATTAATCCTCACATATCCCCGTGAGGCTGGCAAGCATCTGGCTTTCGCAGGTCAAGGAAGCAGAGGCACAAAGGACTTTAGTGACATGCTCGCAATAAGGAACTGAAACCAGAACTCAGGAGTCCTGAATCCCAAGCCTCAGGCTCAGCCCTACATCATACTCCTGCCATAGTGCTTTGGCTCTGTGATCCATACTTGGTACCTAAAAATCACATCTTCCTTATCAATCCTTGGATTTTACCCCATCGGCTCTAAGTATGAACTGGCCATGTTAATCTGAACGATCAAAGCAGACATACTGGTCGTCAGTCTCTATGGTGCCGCCTCGCCGGGCCTCTCCTCGGATAGACTCCATAGCAGTGGAGTAGAGAGCTTTTTGGGTAGCTGGCCTTCGCGTGTCCGACTGGGCCGTCCCATCCATTATCGCACGCTCTCTCAGTGCCTGATCAATGTTATGGACAGCCACAAGCAAACTATAATCCATGATTTTAAAACTCTGCAGAACCTGGACGGAAACAAAGTCAATATGGCATCATTTACGTTTTGCATGAATGGTTAAACTATTCCAGTTTTATGCATGCACGGAGTATTTTTGCTTAGTGTTCTGAAAATACCAAGGGGATGGCATCTATATAAACACTTTGTGATCTTCACCCACAGATAACAATGAGCAGCTTTACAAAGGAAAGTAAAATATCAGTATCTTTCTTCTACAGACAGGGCAACCGGGAAAACGTTTACACACCAGATCAGTTGCAGGCACAGAACTCAGGTCCTCTGACTCTCAGTCCGGAGTCCTATCCGCTGGACCACACAGCTGCTCTAAAATTAGGACTCCTCCTACTGTAAGGGTACGTCTATACTACCCGCCGGATCGGCGGGTAGTGTTCGATGTATCGGGGATCCATTTATCGCGTCTCGTCTAGACGCGATAAATCGATCCCTGAATCGACGCCTGTACTCCACCTCGGCAGGAGGAGTAAGCGGAGTCGACGGGGGAGCCGCGGCGGTCGACTCGCCACTGTGAGGACGGCCAGGTAAGTCCAACTAAGATATTTCGACTTCAGCTACGCGAATAGCGTAGCTGAAGTTATGTATCTTAGTTCCAACAAACCCCCACCCCGTGTAGCCCAGGCCTTAAAGTAGTAAGACATTATTGGGTGGGGAGCATAAATCTGACTGCTCAGGGGGACGGGGGCGGGAAGACTGCACCATATCCCTCTAGATTACTGATTTGAATTTGAGGTGTCAAAGATTGACTGGATCACGATAGTGGAGTTCTCTGGGTCAGAATTGAGTTGTAGGGGGAGGGCAATGTTTGGAGGGGGTGACTGCATTGCAGCTGCCTGGGCTGTGCCTTTCTGGGGGACAGAGGACTCAATTCTAGCACCTGTCACTTAAAAACGGCACCGCAGAATTATCCAGCCTGTAGACACACAAGGAAAAAAAAAAAAACAGGGCAAATGCCAGGCCTAAAAAGCTTTACAATGACCCTGGGGTACACACGTTTCAAAAGGCATGAAGCTAATCCACAGAGAAGGGGGGAAAAAAAAATCGGTCTCAATTCAGCTCGTCTCACCCGTCACTCACCAAACAATCTCTCTGTAGTGTTTTGCATAAGGCATTGTACATATCAGAGTCTAGGAACAGGCCATCGGGGATGTCCTGCATAAAATCCAGGTCTTTGTATGTCGGGAAGACCTTCTCCCGCTCCTTCTGGGATGCTCGACGTTTATAGGTGGAGCCTTTCAAGTCATACTTGAGGTGCATTTTCACAGAGCGGGGCAGCAGGTTGTTCATCACTACGATGCGGATGTTCTTCCCTCCGGCCTGCACGCAGTACAGGCCATAGAACTTAGGCAGCAGTGTCCGAGGATTCTGATTCAAGTTCTAAATGCCCAAAGACAGAAGACAGAACTTCAGAGTCCGGGTGACTCCCTAAATTCAGGGTGGCTAGCTATTTGCTCTTTACCGGTGCATCTGAACCAAAGCAACCCTGTCTGGGATCCAAAGTGATGATCAGCAAAGCAACAAATCAGGGATGGGTGAACTTGGGGCATAGATAGCTAACTCTAGGGTAAGAAAGGTTTTCTCTGCAAAACGGAACGTGTCTGATGCAGCTGTTGCACAAAGAAGAAATTTGCATCTTCATCCACACAATTATCTGCCAGAGCCCATCTGTGGCAGCCAGCAGGGAAAAGGAGGATTTTTGTGCTTAGTCTTTTAGTTTGCCACTCCCTCCTCAAGCTAGGCTCTTGCCAGATCTAATGCTAAGCAAGATAGGGGTGGGTGCACACTGGAATAGGAGACCCCCTATAACTCTGGTGGTTGCAGAAACTAGCATGGGTCCAGTTTCCCAGCCTAGTAATATGGGCATGGGTAGGTAAGAAGAGGTCTTAACCAATGCATATATTAAGAATCCCAAGCCAGGGACAAACTCCAATATCCTGGCCAAATTCCCACTCAGGGAGGCAGTTTGTAAAGCACTCTGGGACCATCTGCCATCTCTAGTGGGATTATATATTGTATGTCGGGGCGGGATCGGATTTTGTTCTAGGACTAGCAGGGCCCATTGATCTATTTATAATCACATTTTTAGTCTCTTTAGACAGACACTCAGAGGCCCTGGAACACGGGCATGTTAAATTTAAATAACAAAGTAGTGTTTGTTGGCCAGCACTGATGAAACAAAGAGAATGGTCCAGAAGGGGGGAAAGGAAATAAGGAACTTTGCTAGTCTTTGCATATCATGGGTATGAGCTTCTCACACAAACACTGACTGAGCAGACACACACTTAGCTATTCAACCACAAAGAATCTAGCAGTGCAAGCCTGAATGCTGGGTGGGTCCCTTCAAGGGATACAGGCACTCTTCAAACCAATCCAAATGGGAAGGTCTGGCACAAACCTCCCGGTGCAGGCCCAAAGAGCTCCAACAGTCTCTCTTAGTCACATGCAGGAGGGTGTATCAGTATTAGCCAGCAGAGGCAAAATGGAGTTGACCAACCCAAAGGGCTCAGGTCCAGCTTTTCAGAGGTGCTGAGCATCTGCCCCTGCAGCGAATGGGAGTGGAATGTGCTCAACAGCTCTGAAAATACGGCCTTGAGACCAGAGGTTAACCTGCCGCACAGCGTGTGACCTGCCAGCTACGACGATATTCTCAAGTTTATGCCATTAGAGAAACATCATTACAACCCACACAGAAAGGTCACTTACCATATAGTAACCCGGCAGCAGCTTCTGCAAGAACTCGGCTTCTTTGTGCTGAACTGTTTTAATGATGAACTCATCATCACTGGATACGTAGAAGAGGGAACCACTGGCCCCGGAGTTGGAGAGCTCAATGAGCGGCTCACTGCAGAGCGAGTACTGAAGGGAGGTGAATTAAAAAGCAAAGGCATAAGATAAACTAGTAACAAAGCACAGGCATCTTTATCGAAGTTACAGCTAACGGGCCAACTCAAGGGTCTGAGTACGTAGAAATGGGGTCATTACACATCCGCATATGTGCCTTCGCAAAGCACTTTGAGCCACTCCAGTGAACAGCAGCATCGTATATGCCCACAAGCAGATAAATATGCAATTCAGTATATAGACTGGTTACTAGTTCATTAAGTTAGATAAACTAGAGATGTTTTACGAGCATAGCAAGTCACGGCACAGCTTTTAGAGTCGGGGAAGCATCCAGCATGACTGTCTCTGGAATCTGTGGCCCTCAGGTTAGTGCTTTTTCGTGTCCATAACTTTGTGCTAGAACATGTCTTGTTTGGAGAGATTACAGGTAGGCATGGAGATGTAGTTATAAGCCTGTGATGTCTCAGCAGCTTTGCTCCCTCCCTCCCTTTGGGTTGTTCGCTATTAGTAATTATTTGTATTAGCACAGCACCTAGGAACTCGAATCAAAGACCAAGACCCCGCTGGGTTAGTGCAGTTGCTTGCTACGTAAAGGAATGGTTTGGTTCCTTCCTGAAACTACTGGCCCATTGACCGGCTAACGGGCAACATATTCTGGCCAACCATGGGGCCCTATAAGCAAGGATCACACCTAATTTGTATAAAATAGAGGTAAGAACTGCTGCATCCTGCTCTAATACAGTGGCACAACTGCAGAGATTACCTGGCCCAGTGTGCACAACTCCATTTTGATTCTAGTAGCCTGCTCTCCACATCAAAGACGGGAGCTGCACAATAGAATTCTGTGGGCTGCATTTGGCCCTGTGAATTCTGTGGGCTGCAGGTGCTGCTTTGGCCCCCCCTGGGTTAAAGCAGTGGTTTCAAGGGAGCTAGGAGTGTCTCATGTGCCGGAGAAGCACAATCAGGATGGAATTGGTACAGGACTCTGTATGGACGTTCAGACTATGCTGCTGTCAATCTGACAGTCAGACCAGGCAGGTCTCATTAGCTCCACTCCAGAACATCAGCCAATAGTCATCAGAAGGGTCAAGAGATCCCAACAAGGATAAATACTAATCTGCCCACATTGGGCAATTGGGGATCGGGCTGATGGCTGTAAGTGCAGTCCTGGCCAAGGGCTTTTTCTTGGTAAACTTTAATAAATAAAGGCAAACCCCAAGAAGGGGGTGAAGCTGAGACAACATCCATTGGTGTGCGCATGGTGTTAGGAGTGGGACCGGATAGAGGCAATTTACACTGGGGAAGAAGGGAAAAATCAAGTATGACAAATAACACTGGCTTCCCCAGTGACTTACCAGATAGTCATCTGGCCGTATTCCAAACAGTTCCCGGAAGTAGCGAAATGCTACAGGAGCATAGGTTTTAAACCGGAAGTCATTGTAGTGATGAGCTGGGGTCAGGTTACTCCCTTCACTGTGTGGGAGGGGAACGGGTAGTTAGAAATACACACAGTACTTTTAAAGGCCTCTTTTAAAAAATAAAGAAGGACCACCCCAAGGCAATTTTCTACAACCCCCAAAAACAAAACACCTTAAATCAGTGATTCTCAACCTATTTACCATTGTGGGCTGCATCCAATACTACCTGTATGGCCCTGAGGATGTCACATAGGCCGCAGCTCTGTGCTGATTGGGCTGCAAGCGGTGGGCTGCAGGTTGAGAACCGCTGCCTTAAATGCTCTTTCATTAACCCTCGCATGCCTCAGAGCTCCAGCAGGTATTTTTCTATCATATATAATGCAAGAACAATCATTGTTAAATGCTTGCTCTAATGGAAAGGTTGAGTAATATCTAAAATTAGGGGCTGAGTTGCATTCTGTTGTGTGGTTGCCATATCAACAAGTGCAGAACTAGCCACTATACTATTGAGTGCTTTAGCGATGCCTGTACATGTCTTAGGGAGCTTATCTGGAATCAGTGTTGCTTTCTTCTCTTAACACCCTAACCTACAAGTAAAGTAACAGTACTAGCTCATAACTCACAGGAAGACTCATCTCAGAGTGGATAACCTTAAGTAAAAGCATTTCACAGAGCAGCAAGAAAGCGCTCACCTTGGGAAGAAAATACTTTCTACTACATAGAAGTCTTGCATGAGAACATCTCGCTCTGGTTTGGTGCTCAAGCTTCCCACTGTGTGGGTGATGCCCAGTTGAATGGCACCTTTCAAGGCCGATGACGTAGTCTGGAGGGGAGAAGGAAACAGGAAGTCAAATATCTCTGACATGGAGCAGCAGATTCCAAATTGGAACAGAAGGGGTTAAATGGATGACTGTCTTCAAGGGAAAAAAAACAAAAACAAAAAAACCGGCTCCAATTTAAACTAGCATCCTTCCAGCAGGCACTGACTAGATAGTATTTTGTACCCATAAATCCTGGTTTCCTTTCTTTGCTTCTCTCTAGCTGGCTAACTTAGGGTATGTCTACACTTACCCGGTAGTTCGGCGGCGAGCGATCGAACTTCTGGGTTTGACTTATCGCGTCTTGTCTGGACGCGATAAGTCGAACCAGGAAGTGCTCGCCGTCGACTGCGGTACTCCAGCTAGACGAGAGGAGTACCACAGAGTCGACGGGGGTGCCTGCCTGCCGCGTGTGGACCGAGGTGAGATCGAACTAAGGTACTTCGAACTTCAGCTACGTTATTCACGTAGCTGAAGTTGCGTACCTTAGTTCGAATTGGGGGGTTAGTGTAGACCAAGCCTTAGTCTTTGGCTGCTTTCTTTCATGTCAATCTGCTCTATGGGAAAGATTCTCAACCTATTTACAACTTATCACCGAGCAGCAAGATCATCACATGAAAGGGATCCTGTTTCCAGAATATTTAAGCTGCTGCCAAACTAAGGTGACAAGGGCTCCATATTCCACTCATCTGAAGCGCAGAGCATATAAGACTAGCTTCTGCCATATACACCGCTACCCCGATATAACGCGACCTGATATAACACAAATTCGGATAGAACGCGATAAAGCAGTGCTCCCGGGGGGGGGGGGGGGGGGGGGGGCGGCCGGGGGGGGCAAAGCAAGTTCGACATAACATGGTTTCACCTATAACACGGTAAGATTTTTTGGCTCCCGAGGACAGCGTTATATCAGGGTAGAGGTGTATTAGGGATGGGGATACCTCTACATCCCTGACAAAGCCCTAACAATCCTTCTTCTCATTTTATCCCCATTCTGCAGCATTGCTACCCCAGAGGGCTTGCACTGTAGCTACCATCCACCTGGCCTTATGAAGACTGGATTTCACCTCCTTCCAAGGTGTTCATTTCCACTCCTTACAACGACCGGAGTGGTGGCTATTGAACAGCAAAGTACTCTCTTTCCTCTGGGAAGCAGACAAGTATGGTATCTGTGCATCATCTCAATCTCCCGAGACCTAGGTTTGCATGATCAGAAGGCCGCGGCATAGACTCTGGTCTTCCTCAAGGCAATGCAGAGTCCCACCACGGAGCTAGCCCTCAAAATAACCTAACCCCACAGAATGCACACTTGTGGGTTTCAACCCTCTATTCTCACCCTCTCATCCTACTCCTTTGCTAGGCTTGTGGCTCATAAGCAATAAGAGGAGCCTTGGCAGAATTCACTGATTTTTGTTTTTTAAACACAATGTTGACTGTAATAACAGTGTTTATTTTTAAGCATTTGTTAAGACTTGTGTCAATTTAAAAATGGATAAAAATAGGAAAAAGTGCTTAAAGCCATCATTTTGCACAACTGTGAACATGTAAATGTTCACAGTTGTGGGAAATTATTTAGGGGGAAGTCAGACAATTATTTAATGACCGTAGATGTTGCGATTCAAACAGTTTAAGCTTTGCCAGCGTCAAAACACAAACTGTCACCACAGAGAAAGCAAATATCCTTCAAAATCAAACTCTAATCGGTTCTCAAGCGGCATTTTTCTTTGCCTAGCTGGACTTTCGACCAGTGATGGAAATATGTGTGTCAGTTTGTGTGTGCAGGGTGAAACTGAGGTTTACCGATAAAAACCTGATCCTTCCAAGCCTAACTAACAGCTGGTCATTACAGTTTTAAAAACAAACCGTAGCTTCGCTGCTGTGGCTTCTGCATAAAATTGTCCAAGAACAATGCAGTATTATATTCCTGTGGCAGCTATTTACAAACATCAAGAATCTGCTAGTCTGCTCATGTCTACAGAACACGCGATTTTGTCTTAGGCCATTAACACTTGCTTATATCCAGCTTGTTCTATGTGGTCATGAATCTTCCAGGATGACGCAGATAAGATCTGTTTGACAACTACCAAAGTTACATGGTCTGTGTCAATTCCCTGTCTATAACACATAAGCCCACTGCAAAGGTTGTTAAAACTATGGTGGAACAGGTGCAAGTTGTTTACATACAAGGCAACTGAACCTAAAACAAAATCCTGAGCAGGTGACTCAGTAGGTGGTGTTCTTCTGACAGTCAGTATTTGGTTCAATACCCCAGCTAGATGCCAAGGGACACTGTGCATCTAATAAGACGTCCTGATGACTTGGTCATTTAAGATCAAGGTATGTTGTGAAAGATAGAATTTAACCTTGATGACTAGGCCAGATTCCAATTTGCGTAAGTATGTTTTGGCTTCCCTAGATTTCCCCTCCATTGCTTCTAAAATGAATGCTCTGGCTTTCATTTGAGTATCTACAAAATCTTTCTAAGATGAACAAACATATTCTCCATTTATTATTAATCAGGTTTATTACAGTAGCACCTAAGGGCCAACCAAGAATGAGGCCCCACTGTGCTAGGCACTGTACAAACTCAGAAATAAAGAGCTTATTATTTAAAACAGACAGATGCAAGGTGGGGAAGAAGTAGAACACACCAGCAGAGTGGACAGCGTGATGGCAGCAAGCAGGTTAGTTCCATTATTTTTTTGGGAGTGGGTTTGATTAGGAGAGGATCAGCTAATGGAAAGAAAAGGGAAGGGGGTGAGCTGGACAGAGCAGAAGGTAAATGGAGATGGAGTAAGAGATCTGTCCAAGGTCACACAGTAAGTGACAGAACTGAGAACAGAACTCAGGTTTTCCTTGATTCCATCCGGTTTTAGACCACTTCATGGCATCCCTCCACTTTCCTTACTAATCAGATCCTGGGATGTGCCCATGTGAGATTTATCACACAATCTGTCTAGGACGTTGGAACAGAGTTCTCCTAAATACCTTTCCTTCTTGCCTTTTAAAATTAATATCACTGAAAAATCCACGCAAGCTCAGCATACTGTTCATACCGAAAAGGTAGTTTCACTTTAAAAGATAAAGAAACTACGAACAACAGCTTGGCAGTGCTGCATTATCTGTGGGTGCAAAGAGCCACAATGAAGTTGCCATTAAGCTGTGTGCATTTTTTTCCCCCTCATCATAAACTGAGCAGTCAGCTGCCTGTTTACAATTGTTTTAACGAAGGGCAGAGAGAATAAATTAATCAACATACTGCCTCAAGGAAAGGAGGGAGAGACATAGCCACAACAACAACTTAAACAAGGAGAGCCTGTCAGTCATTTCCCCATTAGTCCCCCTGTTACCAGTTTCTGGGGCCCCTGCAAACATATTTAAGTGTCTCATCTAATTCCACTTTGGTTGCTGCTTTCTCCCAGCCAGTACTGCTACCTCCTCCTCCTCCTCCACTCAGCATGCTGGGGATACTGGAGATCTGAACTGAGAGCCCCAAGCTTAAACATAGTCAGTCAATTATAGTAAATTAGAGAGACTAGATTCAACAGAAGTGCTGTTTAAGTTCTCTCCCACACACTCAGTTCCCTTATTTTCCAGGTGATCTCTAGAAGCAAACCCCGTCACCAAACAGTATGAGGATATTAAAGCATGGCTGGATTAGAGATTTCAAACGAGAAGCTTCCACTTACATGAAGCGAGAGCTGCTGAAACGCCTCGATCATGCCATTATCCATTTAATCCAGACACGGGAAACCACTCTTGTTGTAAAGCAAGTTGGCACATACTGATGAAGTCCAACAAAAGTTAGTAGCAGGGTCCAAAAATCCCCACATCCATAGGCTGGTTTAAGAAACCAACACACACACACACACACACACACAATCTGCCCTTTGTAAAGCAAATTCCAGCAAAAATCACAATCTGTAGCTGCTATTGTGTCCAGACAGCATAGAGCGCACTCAGTAAACAAGAAGGGTCCTAGGAAGTGTTGCTAATGGGGTAAGGTTTAAAAAATAATCCTGTCTTTAGGAGGCAATGGCAGAGAAGCTACTCCCAAAGCATAAATTCAGCCCTTCAGCCTCTCCAGCCTGCCAGCCTTTGCTCCCACTGAGATCTTCTTTAACGTTTGTCACGCAAGTTACCCAACCTTTTATGCTAAATAGAATGAGTCAGAAACCCTGATGCTCTGGGCAGCATTAATTTAGTGAATAGGAGAATGAAAACAATCAGATTAATTAGGTGAGAGGCACCTACCTTTTTATATGTAGTTTCACCAGTGGAATCTACTCCTCTATGACCTTTCTTTATTGTCTGTGAGCCAGGCTGTCCAGAAGAACCAGACATCTAGGGGTATGGGTGAAGACAAGAACCAAGAAGTTTTAAAAACAAATATCATAGGTGTATATCTCCCCGCCGAGAATCAAGAGGCATATCTACAGAGTATCTCTCAGGGGTAAGCCTATAGAGTTGTAGAATACATTTCTTTTCAACTTCCACCTTTAATACAAAGATGCAGTTTGCAGAAAATTACAGGTCCCAGCGTGCAATGCCAGAAGCTGCTTGGATCAAGATGGAGCATGACACACTGGGACCGGTAGTCTTCATGGGCTGCTTCTGCATATTAATATGGAGGGGGACATTATATGGCCTAACTTCATCTTCAAAATAGCAGAGTGACATTAAAGAACCTTGGAGAGATACTAGCTTCCTGGGAGCTTCCTGCAGACTTGGAATCTAAATAAAGGGGTGGAGGGGACGGTCTTCGCAAAATGCAAGCTAGAGGAGGAAGTTTGGTTCCTGTACAAGGAGAGAGTTTTCAGGTTGCTCTTAGAAGCTTTAATTTCCAGCAGACTGGTCCTGAATGACCTCAGGCTGCAATCAGGCTGCGCTTTCCTTTACTGGCACAACTCATGCCCATGAAGGGTATGGCTATACTGCAATCACACGATAGGACTGCAGCTTGAGCAGACATACTCTAGCTCAGGGGTCGGCAACCTATGGCACGCGTGCCAACGACGGCACGCGAGCCGATTTTTAATGGCACGCTGCTGCCTGCCGGGACTCCAGCGTGCCATTAAAAATCCTGTCCAGCCCGGCCTGCTTTCCTCTGCCCCCGCGGGGGGCAAGGAGCAGAAGCATAGGCGTGCGGATGGGGTGGGCAAATAACCCCACTCTCCCGGCGCGGCAAGCCACGGGGTCTGCGCTTCCGGGCCGGAGCGCCAGGCTGAGTGCAGCAAGCCGCCGGCCCCTCCCCCACCTTCCCCCCCTCTCCTGGAGCCCTGCCGCCGCACGCGCAGTGCTCTGGGGGTCGGAGCTGCGCGCTCCCGCGGAGCAGTGTTTGGCTCCACGGAGAGGCAGACATGCTCCCCGCTCAACCGGAGCCCTGCCGCCGCATGCGCAGCGCTATGAGGGGCGGGGCTGCGTATCTGGCTCTGCTTGGAGCCTCACGGTAAGGGGTCCAGGGCAGGGGGGTTGGATAAGGGGTGAGGGCAGTCAGGGGACAGAGGGCAGGGTGGGTTGGATGGGGGTGGGGTCTCTAGAGGGGGCAGTCAGGGAGCAGGAGGGGTTGGATGGGGCATGGGAGTCCCGGGGTCTGTCGGGGGCGGGGGGTGGATAGGGGTCAGGGCAGGGAGCAACGAGGGTCCTGGGTGGGCAGTTAGGGTGGGGGTGGTCAGGGGAAAAGGAACTGGGGGGTTGGATGAGTCAGGAGTTCTGGGGGTCCTGTCAGGGGGCAGGGTGTGGTTGGATAGGCATGGGAGTCCCGGGGGTCTGTCTGGGGGCGGGGGTGTGGATAAGGGTTGGGGCAGTGAGGGGACAGGTAGGGTCCTAGGGGGGCAGTCAGGGGACAAGGAGCAGGGAGGCTTAGATAGGGAGAAGGGTCCTGGGGGGCAGTTGGGGGCAGGGGTCACAGGAGGGAGTAGTCAGGGGACAAGGAGCGGGGGAGTTGGAAGTTCTGAGGGGGGCAGTCACCCAGCCCTCTGCCCTGACACCCTCCCACACACACACACACACACACACCCAGCCCTCTGCCCTAAGCCCCGCACCCCCCCAGGCCCCTGCCCTGAGCCCTGTACCTCCCTCATACACACCCAGCCCTCTGCTTGACTCCTTCACACACACACACCCGACCCCAGCCCTGACTGGCACCCACACACATACCCAGCCCCCACCTCTGCCCTGACACCTGCACCCCCCCACACACCCCATGCACACACACCCCACCTCCACCCTGAGCTCCTGCACCCCCCCCCATTCCCACCTGCACCCCTCGCATCAAATGGGAGCTGCCCAGGTAAGTGCCCCACACCCAAACCTCCTGCCCCAACCCTGAGCCCTCTCCCTCATTCTAGCTCCTGGCCAGACCCTTCACCCCCAGCCCTGTGCTCAGTGCACTCCCATCCTCAGCTCAGCGCAGAGAGAGGAAGAGAATGGGCCAAAACCAGGGAGAAGGTAGGTACCCATTGTATGTGGGCAGGGCCGGGACCCCAGACTGGCAGCGGGCTGTGCGGATCCGGCAGCCAGGATCCCAGCTGGCAGGAGCCGGCGGATGGAACCCCTGAGGGGCAGTGCCGGCACGGGGTCCCAGCCGCCGGACCCGCACAGCCCGCTGCCGGTCTGGGGTTCTGGCTGCTGGACCCTTGCCAGCCAGGGTCCCGGCCGCAGGCCCCGCTCAGCCCGCTGCCAGCCTAGGTGAACAGAACCCCAGACCAGCAGCAGGCTGAGCGGGCCGGCGGCGTAAGATCAACATTTTAATTTAATTTTAAATGAAGCTTCTTAAACATTTTGAAAACCTTGTTTATTTTACAGTACACCACTAGTTTATTTATATAATATATAGACAGAGCGAGACTTTCTAAACAACATTAACATGTATGACCGGCACGCAACACCTTAACTGAGAGTGAATAACTGAAGACTTGGCACCCCACTTCGGAAAGGTTGCCGACCCCTGCTCTAGCTAGCAGGGGTATTGGGCTTGTACATCTCATGCTCAAGTGCACACGGCCACAACTTCACTGCTCCAGTATCCGAGCTAGCTAGATCAAAGCTAGTAGGTGTGCTCAAGCTGCAATTATACCCTGTGATTGCAGTACAGACATACACTTCGAAGAGTTGAGTCCTTTGAGGAAGTGAGCTAGGTTGGTGGTACAAGTTAATCTAGTTTCTCAGGCAGAGGTGGCAATTTTAGCTGCATCTTGTCTGCACTACTCTATGGGTACGTCTACACTTTGCCTGCCGCCGGACCTGGAGGTAGGCAATCGATGTTCTGGGATCGATTTATCGCGTCTTGTCTAGATGCGATAAATCGATCCCGGAAGTGCTCGCCGTCGACGCCGGTACTCCAGCTCGGCGAGAGGAGTACGCGGCATTGACGGGGGAGCCTTCCTGCCGCGTCTGGATCCGCGGTAAGTTCGGACTAAGGTACTTCGAATTCAGCTACGTTATTAACGTAGCTGAATTTGCGTACCTTAGTCCGAAGTGGGGGGTTAGTGTGGACCAGGCCTATGACCCCTTGGAAACTTGCCTGGGTCATTGTCTTCTGTGTAAACAGCCATTCTGTTGCTCTATAAACTTGAGCTCGGGCTCTGTGGCTTGACATTTATATAGTGTTTTGGTGGCATGGAATCACTTGAAATTCCAGGGCCATTAGGATATAAAAATGGACCCAATTCTCTTATGAGGAACAAAGGCTCACTGATTTCACAAATGAATACACCAGCTCATTGCAGCCTTATAATTGCTTGTTCAGCTCTGTCCCCCGCTTTCCCTTCCAGATTCAAGCCATATACACAGCTCAAAATGCCTAGTTTAATAGAAAGCACCCATTTATGACAGTGCCCAGGGAACAAAGCGCACCAATTTCTCAAGAAGTAACTTACCTCTGAAGTGAATGATTTTTTGAAGGTTGCTGATCCTGTCAAGACAGAAATTTAAGAGACATTTAGCAAAGAAACAGGTTATTATATATTGTAGAAAAAGCCTGACATACTGCTGTGATTTGAATGTTTTAGTGTATCTGAAAAAGCACTGACTCATGTTTGATTTTTCCTCAACTTCTCCTCTTGCTCACAGCACAGGGAAATTTTTCTCAGGCCACAAGGAAATGTCATTCTGCTTACCACACAGCCATCCCAACTTAACTTTGTTTATCTCTTACAGAGTAGCTATTTGCTAGTCTGATCTCTCCTGCTCAGCCAGATTCCAAGAATTTTTTAGCGGTGTATAGAAACTCAGGGCCAAATTCAGACACGGTGTAAGCTGATGCAACTTTATCAAATTCAGTTGAGTTACACCAAGCCTTAATATGGCTCTAACCAACCATTAATTAAAATCACTACATCAAAGACCCAATTTTCATAGTTCAAGCTTTGTGATGCTGCAGTGTCAGCACTTCCATTATAAACTTATTTCCAGGGGTTTTTACAATCACAACATAAATCCTTTGAGTCGAATGTTAAGATTCAGACAATACTAGGGCTCAGTGACAGTGAGGTGATTTACTACTTTTTCCACCTTTTGAGGCCAGGATTCCAGTCCTGTTTCTTGGATACGGGAACAGAAACGGACTCTGGGATCCTGCTCTTTTGTGGATGTTTGTCCAAGCTACAAAACCACCACACAGATCAGCAATACTACTCAGAAACAGCCCAGAACTGCAAAAGCGGACATGCTGCCCGCACATAAAGTGAAGTCATGGGAAAAACTTGCATTTCTTCCTCTTCCTCTACCTGGGACAAACAAAACAAAACAAGACTCCAGCTCCGTGGCAGCACATCCTCCCCAGGTGAGAGCCACAAATACAGTCTGATTAAGCTTATTTCTCAACCATGGCAACCTCAGTCATTCAAAATGGGGGCAAAAGAAAAACTAAGAAGTGTTATGGTGGTAAGAAAACCGCATTTCAGCAAAGGACACAAAGACACTTAAACAGTGAAACTGACCATCCTTCCGAACCATTTATCAAACAATCAAAGCTCCCATTTCAAGAGAGACGAAACAGTGAGCAAAAATAATTCTGTGCTGAAAGCTTTTTACTACCCAAAGTGAGAGGATAGCGGCTGGCTTTTTCAACTTGGTTTTCCACCCCCTCTGTTCTCTCCTTAAGGCAAGAAAGGTGTCATGACAAGTTCTAATTTTTATGTATAAAGTGCCACACATTCAGGAGCTATTCCCTCCTCCTCCCAGTACATTCTGTGCTCTTCATAAAAGTGAGTAATGCACAGCTGTACTCATATGCACTGACTTGCAGCTAGCTGTGCTACGCAAGGCCATAGACCAGTGGCTTACAACCTGTGGTCCATGGACTCCTGAGGGTCCGCAGACTATGTCTAAGATTTCCAAGGGGGTCTGCACTTCCATTCAAAAAATTTTTAGGGGTCCTCAAATAAGGTTGAAAACCATTGCCATAGACCAAAGGCAGTCCGGCTAGCGGGGCAGCCAATTCTGCACATCAGTCGGAGCCATTTGTCCTGGGACATAGGTCCAAGGGCTCAAGTTTCTGCTGCCACTATTCAATTTGGCCAGCTGAACCACTGTGGAGTCAAGGAGGCTCTCAGAGTTTCCATGGGCTTGAAGCCGGAGAAGCCTGCTAGGCTATCACTGTCTGACAGTCCAAGTTAACAGCTTTTGTTCTCCACCCCTGCCCCCAAACAGGAAGTTCTGTCACTACAGAACCAAATGGATCTGAAAGCAAACATATTCCCAGTTGGAAGCTAGCTTCTGTACTTTTCAGTCCTGCTAACAGAAGCCACGCAGCCATAACCCAGTTTTTCAGTATGCTGTTTTAATGAAAAACTGACAGCGCTCCACTCTGTCACCTTGCAGTACAGGTGACTGCTTTGAACAAGGCTTTCCAAACTGTCAATGTCTGGGACATGGTGGTGGAGGAAGCAACTCAGTCATTACAATGCAGCACCTGCTCAGCAACAATTGAGCCCTATTGCCTTTTCAAGGGAGTATTCTGTAAGGATGTAAATCCAATATTCTCTAAAAGTCACACTGAACCAGCAGCACAGCTAGCCCCATCACCTTAGAGATTAGCTATGTCAATAATCAGCCATTCGAACCCTTAAATTCTCTGAGGATTTACCTAAAACTATTTATTCAAAAGGGACAACAAATGAGCCTTTTTATACCTTTCCAATCGCATCCAAGAAACATTAAGCCAAAAAGAGACCCCAAAAAAACAAAAACGCAAATATAAAAAACGTACCACTAACTTTTCACTTATGTAGCACTTCTCAACTGAGGATTCCAAAGGATTTCATATTCGCTTGGCCTCTATACCAAGCTTACTGACCCGGCAAACCGCATACGACAATCTCCAGAAGTTTGAGACCTGGGGCGCACCTGCTGGGGTTTGGGGTTTCAGCCCCGCTCCTGCTGAAGCCCTGAGCCCCGGCACGTGTGCCCCATGGGGCTGAAGCCCTGACACCCCTCTCCCCGCTGAGCCGAAGTCCCTACCCCAACACCCTGCTGCAAGGCAAAGGTCCTCAGCCCCCCCCCCCCAGTTTGGTAGGGGGAGAAAGGGGGGGGGGGGGGGGGCACCCCGGGGGGGGGTGGGGCTCCGCCAGCCACACTAACTGTAAAAGAGCTGCATGCGGTTTGCGAGCCACGGTTTGACCACCCCTGCGCTATACCAATGTGAGACAGGCACTCTCATTTTACAGAGCTTTAGAGTAAATGTACAGTGATTTGCCTGAAGTCACACAGCAAATCAGCATCAGGACTGAGAACAGAAACCAAGAAACTGGCTCTACATGGCACTGGTGAAGCCTCAGCTGAATACCGTGTCCAGTTCCAGGAGCCACACTTTAGGAAAGATGTGGACAAATTGGAGAGAGTCCAGAAGAGAGCAACAAAAATGATAAAAGGTTTAGAAAATCTGATCTATGATGAAAGTTTTAAAAACTGGGCAAGTCTAGTCTTGAGAAAAGACGATTGAGGGGGAAACCTGATGACAGTAACTCAATATGTTAAGGGCTGTTATAAAAAGGACAGTGATCAACTGTTCCCTATGTCCACTGAAGGCAGGACAAGCAGTAATTGGGTTAATCTGAAGCGAGAGAAATTTAGATTAGATATTAGGAAAAAATGTTTTAACTGTAAGGAAAGTTAAGCACTGGAACAAGCTTCCAAGAGAGGTTGTAGAATCCCCATCACAGAACTTTTAAAGAACAGTTTGACAAACACCTGTCAGGGATGGTCTAGGTTTACTTGGTCCTGCACAGGAGGCTGGACTAGATGACCTCTCAAGGTCCCTTCCAGCCCTACATTCCTGCTTCCCTGGTCTAACTGCTAGAGAGAACATTGTCTCCCATCATGTAATTCTAGTGAATGCTATCTGGAAATCAGATATACATTATCTCCCAATCAAGCGCCACTGTTTACAAGGAAAGCTCACTAGTCAGCACAGGAAAGTTACTGTATGCTGTAACAAGGATCGGTAACCAACACCCCCCCTCCCCCATGTGCAAGACGGGAAACACTCCCTCCCTTTCTCTAGTTCCTTCATTTCCAAACAAATGTGCAATATCCGTTGATTGCGATATCGCCAACCGTCCTAGATAGGGAGGGTTCTGAGTTACTACAGAGATTCTTTCCCAGGTGTCTGGCTAGAGGGGCTCTCTCTCATGCTCAGGGTCTAACTGAACACCCTATTTGGGGTCGAGAAGGAATTCCCCCCCCCAGGTCAGATTGGCAGAGACCCTGGTGTTTTTTTGCTTCTCTGCAGTGTGGTGTGGGTCACTTGCTGGTTTGAACTAGAGTAAATGGTGGATTGTTTGTAACTGGAAGTTTTTAAATCAAGATTTGAGGACTTTAGTAACTCAGCCAGAGGTTACAGGCCTATTGCAGGAGTGGGTAGATGAGGTTCTGTGTGCTGCGATGTGCAGGTGGTCAGACCAGATGATCATGATGGTCCCTTCTGGCCTTAAAGTCTATGAGATTGGGCAATAGGTTATTTCCCTTTGTCCACAATAAAGATGGTTAATTACACTTGAGCACTAGAATGAACATGCAGCAGGAGTCTGGTCTCCTAAGTAAGGGGAGATGAATGTAAACAGGCGTGTGCAATTCCTGTAAATGTTGGGAGTTGCCTGCAAACGCATAAGCTTCCTCAGTTAAAAGCATTACTAGTTTTGGCCAGAGGGAGGCATCATACACAGAGCCAGGGAACAGTTAAAACTAAAAGACTTTCCATGCGAGGAAGTTAGAGTTATTATTCTCTTTTTTAAAATGACCATTTCTTCTGCAGTATGTGGAGAAATGAAGGGCAACAGCGTTAGCCAACTCAATGAACACATTTTCTACAAAACAACCTTTATAAAGCTTCGCTTGTGCCTGGGTGTTTCTGAAAATGTGTTAGATCTGCTTAAATTCATGAGGTTTTTTTTTTTTTTTTTTTTTTTTTTTTTAAAGAGGTACATATTTTTAAACCTATCTCAAGTGTTTAATTAGTCAATCACCTGCTTGATTTTAAAGAGTTATGGTAACTATTTTGATACTCTTTGTGGTTTAACTTCCATGCCTGGCCTCTCTTTTGAGGGGATCAGAGAAGTGTTAGACATTACCTATGCCCCCACCTCCACCCCCCCCCAAAAAGGAAGGATTATCATATGTTTGTATCTTTTAACATTACACAATCAATCCCCAAGGAGAATTCAGACTGTCCATAGAGTTATTTATTGGAAGCTGAATCAGGAGAAGCAAATAGAAGCTGGCTGAAAATAGAACAGGACCACTACAAGTAGTATACTTCTTACAGCACATCAAATAAATATCAGACTAAAAGCCATACTGAAGCTATTGTGGTGCCGTTTTGGTTAAACGGCACGTGAACTGCTCTGAAAGGAGTATGCAACACAGAAATTCAGGTCAAATTCTCACCTCACTTATTTGTCTAGTGGATAGGTG